ACAAAGATAACTCCAAGATTCCTGACAGTGCTGCTAGAGGCCAAGGTAATGCCATCTAGAGTAACTACAGTGGGTACGGAAAGTATTCAGACCCCTTTAAATCTATCTATCTATCTATGGCTTATAAAGCATTTACAAATGAGATATAAAGGCTGGCAATGCCTCGAGATTCACAAAATGTTCAGTTATCTTAACAGACGAAGGAGAGACACAACACAAAGGGATATAGAACATATTGTATTGATATTTATTGCAACTTCCCAACATATTGTATGAAGACGAACAAGGGTAGTTTATGAAGACATGCTATTGTTGTGATCTTATCTGTTTGGGACGTGTACGTTGAGCTTGCAATCCCGCTCTCAGCACGTCATCAACGACGGTGGGAGGCGGGATGTTACGTCATATTTACGTTAACTCTCAGAAGTTTCTGACAGTGCAGCCAAGGGGAGCGTGGAGAAGCACATTGGAGTCGGCGGCCGTCAGCGGCACTAGTGGTGAGTATGTGTCTTTGTTTGGTAGCACACACTATGGTTGAAAGCTAACGTTAGCTTGTCAGCAGCTGCAGGTGTTTGCCCTTAACGTTAACGTTACTAACTTTACTACCGACCTGCCCGCGGTGGCTAAGCCGACCTAGTCTAGTCTCGTCTAGCCGGGCGAGGTGAGTGCCTAGCAGCGGCAGGTCGGCTTAGCTACGTTAGTAATGTTAGTAACGTTAGTTGGGGAGCCAGGGCAAACACCTGCAGCTGCTGACAAGCTAACGTTATAATACTTTATTTATTTAAGCCATGTGATTCAGTGGAAATTCTCACAGGTCCTATTTGCAAGCTCAACGTACACGTCCCAAACAGATAAGATCACAACAATAGCATGTCTTCATAAACCACCCTTGTTTGTCTTCATACAATATGTTGGGAAGTTGGAATAAATATCAATAGAATATGTTCTAGATCCCTTTGTGTTCTATATCCCTTTGTGTTGTGTCTCTCCTTCGTCTGTTAAGATAACTGGGTAACACTTTATAATGAGTACACACTATTAAGCATTAGTTAAGCATGAATAAATAATGAAATCATCATTTTTAACGCATGAATACACATTAGTATGTAGTTTATAAACACAGTTAAAAATGTTTTATTCATCATTGATAAGCACATTAGTTATGGATTAGTAAATACTGAATTCATCATTTATAAAGCATGATTCTGCTGTAAAAAGTCATTACTATGTGGTTTATAATCACAGTTATAAATGTTTTACTCTTCATTGTACTGTACATTTCTGCATGCACTTGCACATCCACTATTCAGACATGTATTAATGATTAGTGACTGTGTTAGCAGATGTTCTATAAAAACTCACAACAAATTCATTTTCTAATGATGGCCTATAAACAGTTATTAATGCAGGAATTCACAGTTACAAAGCACTTACTACTCGTTAATTAAGTATTTTGCACGAGCTCATCTAAAGTGAGCACTATCTATGGCTTATTAAGCATTTACAAATGAGATATAAAGGCTGACAATGCCTCGAGACTCACAAAATGTTCAGTTATCTTAACAGACGAAGGAGAGACACAACACAAAGGGATCTAGAACATATTGTATTGATATTTATTGCAACTTCCCAACATATTGTATGAAGACAAACAAGGGTGGTTTATGAAGACATGCTATTGTTGTGATCTTATCTGTTTGGGACGTGTACGTTGAGCTTGCAAATAGGACCTGTGAGAATTTCCACTGAATCACAGGGCTTAAATAAATAAAGTATTATTCAAATGCTGCTCTTTTAACACAAAAATGCACACCTCCTTCGTGCTTGGTGCTCAACACATAAAGCGAACTAGCTTTTAATTTTACTTATTTTGAATCAATTAAGTTCACATAATACATAGGCTAATTATCTCTTATGGGATGACAGCAGGACTAGATTTAAATCCTTAAAACGCTTTAAATACCAGAAGTATGCCCTATTCGTCAGCATCCTAACTTTTGACAGTCATACAGTCGTCAGACTCCAACAAGTATGATGTTGAAAGATAAATCATATGGTCTACTGGAAAACAAAACAAGTCAAGAAGAGAGTCATGTGTCAGCCATGTCTGTCCTCACCTGCTCTATAACCTTATTACAGTATTTTGAATTACCTCTTCTAGTGAGATTTTTTATCAACTTAAGTCTAACTATTAACCGAATATAACAATAACCTTAACCCAAACTTTCGTTGGGTAATGTAGCTACTGCTTATGCTAGATAGATTAATATAGGCTATTTAGACCAAAGTAACCGGCTTAAAGTAAGACAGAGAATCATTTACACTGATTTTAGAAAAACAAAATAACCTCCCGTGATTTTCTGTCATTTGAAGATTTTTAAATTCCCTTTGTTTTTGCACATTTTTTTTCAGGCACTGAATACTGTCCCTCTGTCCAATGACACAATCGGGAGACGTATATTTGACATTTCAGACGACCTCCAAGAGCAACTCACAGAACATCTAACAGACAAACGTTAAATATAAGCAATATTGTTGCACAATAGAAAAAAAAAAATGCACATCCCAGTGAATCATTTGCTGTTTTGAGAATCACAGAGACTAAGCAGTCTTGTTTAAATGTTACAAATTGAGTTAATAAACTTGGAACTTGGAAATTGTTTTAAGTTGTTGCAGATTTTATCTCAGCTCATTTATATGTTATTTCAGCTCCTTTTATTAATCTATTTTGATAATCAGGTGATTGTATGCAGAATGCTGGTGCCAGCAACTCATACAGTGGTTTGTACAGATAAATAAATAAATATTATCAGGTTCTCAATAGTATTTCAATTCAGGGGGGGCATGAAAAAATGTCTGTCCCCTGGGGGGCGTGACAGAAAATAATTGAGAACCACTGGTTTAAAGTGATGATAAAATATTTCCTAATAGCCCACTGGCTTGCGGCAGTGCAGCGTCTCCCCTCTACCTTCCACGTTAATCGCGACCAGGACATGACCCTGCTCCACTTCTTTCAGCCAATCACAGTGTGATGAAATTACCTGCCTTCTGTTTCCACTATACTCCTTCTGTTTCTTTCTTGTCTCACACATACATGCATTATTTTCTTACATATATACATTTCCCTCTTACATACATATATTATTTATGATAGATATATACAGTGATTGCATATGCATGAAAAAAAATTATAAATGTGTGTGTTAAAAATATATGAATATGAGAGTTAAAATGTATGAATGTGTGAGTTAAAATGTATGAATGTGTGAGTAAAAATATATAAATATGAGAATGTATGTGTAAATCAAAATCTATAAAAGTGAGAGTGAAAATATATGAATGTGACTAAAGAAATATGAATATGAGTGTAAAATGTATATAGGAGTAAGTGTAAATATATAGGAGTGAGTGTAAAGTGTATGAATGTGTGAGATGATATGAGAACAAATATATATGTACGTGAAAGTAGAATGTATGTGTGTGAGACGGCCAGAAATAATTATGTCTTGTACGGCCCCTCATACGTATGAGTTTTTGCGCAAATTTAATGGTCAGTGAATTACTGACTCTGGGCCTACTATAGTCTCTAGTTCTCCCTGAGGAATACCGATGCAATCAACAACACGTATGCAGGCGTAAAAAATTAAGTATTGTTGTGTGTATATTGTGAGTATATCCTCCCAGAATTCCATTTCACTTTAGGTATTATCTTTGAGATGCTGATATGTGATGAAATATGGAAGCCAAGCTCAGTCCAATCTAATGTCTACAGTATGGAAGCAAATTCCAGCAGTGATAAGCCAACCACATGTCAAAGTCTGTCTTATGTTGCCATGTACTGTGTATTACTATATATCCATTCACATGCTGTGCCAGTCTTTATCACATACAGGAAGCTGGCACAGACACACAGAGAAGATCAACAGAACTTCTCTAAATGCGTGCTTGCATTGAGCATGATTCCAACTGCTGATCCTCGGAATCCAAGACACAAACTCACAAAGCGTGTCTGTTCAACAAGATAACAGCAGTAAGAGGAACAACATCTATGGATGGTAGAAACTACAGGTTGGAGTTGCCTCGTACACAAAGTCTCCAACATGCCTTTACATTCACCACCACAGACTTGTACTAGAGAAAGAAATCAAAACAGCTTTGTAACTGAGCATTTGGGTTTTCAGATAAAAACCAAAACATTTAGAAAATTATGGAACAAGTTGAAGTTGAAAATATTTTATATTTGTGGTTCTTAGTTAACACTCCAACAATGTTTGTGTGAGCTTTATCTTGTCAGTGTTAAATGCTTAGCAGGATGCTTTGGTCAGTTTGTGGAACTGCCTTCATCTGCACATAAGAAACAATCTTTAGCTGCAGAGTCTGTATACATATTTTGGCTAAATGACTGAATGATGAATACTGTGTGACAATAAGGATTACAAACGTGACCTGCTTTATGTGAAAAGTGTCCTGAGATAACTGAATGGAAATTGAAGATACTGTCAATTCAGACACTTACATCAAGATATTAACAATTTTTAAACAGTTAGATTTTGCAGAAAAGGTTCTGCTGTTTAAGGGAGCTGTAACTGAATTTGAGCAGCAACATGGATTCTGCTGGAGAACAAATCCCCCGATAATAAACACATGTCTATTCAATGATCCCCAAAATATATAAAAGAGGTCAGGGTGGTGGAGGAGCTGCAGCAGCAAACAGAGTTTTCATGCGTTGTGCAGTTAGTTGCAATCTGAAACTTCACCACTAAATGCCACTAAATCCTTCACACTGGACTTTTAAACTATTGATCATAGGTTCAAATGTTAATTCATTTGGTAACTAAAGTTTGTATACATTTTGTTATAAATGAGTACAAATGAGTCCATGGTGATTCAAATAAAATAGTTAATCAAAAAATATATATCTCATTTTAATTATGTAGGCTTGTGTTTTTACTTCCTACCTTTAACAAATAAAAAATCCAAGTAACAGCATTAACAAGTAATTGAGGTATATTTAAGTTTTCTTTAATCAAAACACAATGTTGGCACAAAACCTTTCTTTCTGTACAGTAATGTATGTTCACAACAGAAATCCCAAAATGTAAGGTAGGATTGCCAAACATGACAGTGATGACATTAATTTTATTACATAGTAAGAGTGAGCCTCATACATCGGTAAGTGCTTAGTTATGACAGTACATCAACCCATGCTATTCAGTTATAATAATTTGTAAAACATGAGTAGCTATGCAATATACCACTTTGTGCTTTCTTCACTCCCTTTCTAACAATCTTGAACCGTATTACTCTGCCAAGGAGGTTATGTGTTTGGTTTGTTTGTTTGTTTGTCTTTCAGCAGGACTGCAGAAAAATTACCCAATTTTAATGAATCTTGGTGGAAGGGTGTAGTATGGGCCAAGGACAAACCCATTACATTTTGGAACACATCTGAATCACGGGACAGATTATTTTTTGCTTTTGTTAAAGGCATACTATACAGGATTTGTCTGTTGCTGTTTGTAAACACACCATTCAAAGTTGACCCCTCCTCTCCGCGTCCAGCAGGCCAGAGAGAGTGCCTTTGGTCAAGATAAACAGAGGATGATGAGGAGAGGGAGAGATGTTCAGAACAAAGCATGAATCAAAGAAACTCTTTTTTCTGATTGTTTCAGAGCGGTTACGTTCTAAAGCTCTTGTGTTCCTCTGCTGTCTGTCATGTCATTATATTGGTTGATAGCCCTTTGGATCCTAAATGTTGTGTGGCTGCTTTTACTGGTGGCCTATTAAACCACCCCAGGTACTCATAATCATTTCAGATTTCTTATTTTAATTTTCCAATGGAAGTACTCAAACTGCTAACAGTAAATGTGTCATGCTTTTTTTTTTTTGTCATCCTTCTTAAGTGCCACAATTCAATTGTCAGGCTTCGAACTAATGATAGCATTTTGTCTCCAGCTCCAACAGTGGGCATCAAAGTCCCCAGCAGATCAGAATTTTTTAGACAGCAAGAATTTCACTTTATCCTCACCTCTTTTCATTAAGTAGTCACAGTGCACAAAATGTTGGGTTTTACAAAGCTCTAGTGTAAACAACTTTATGTCTTATTTGGGGGCGGCTGTGGCTCAGAGGCAGAGCGGGTCGTCCACTAATCGGAAAGTTGTTGGTTCGATCCACGGCTCCTGGTGCCACATGTCGAAGTATCCTTGAGCAAGATACTGAACCCCAAATTGTGTGAATGTGTATGAATGAGTTAGTTTCTGTTTGATGGACTTTGCCATGGCTGAGTGAAAGGGTGAATGTGTACATAGTGTAAAAGCGCTTTGAGTGGTCGGAAGACTAGAAAGCTATACAAGTACTCACATTAAATGGGAAAAGAACAGAACTCAATACCCTTGCACTACTCTTGTTAACATCATAAGGTCCTTTCAGGAGGTTGGAAAATGGAAAGAAATACCTCCTGAAAGCATCAGGTCATTGAACAAAAGGATCTAGGGGTTGCGCAAGATGACATGTCCATGCCTCCATGCATTCTGTGATCAGTTTATGAGAAATTCTCCTTCATAAAGCCAAAAGACAAAGATATTCTCACAATGTCAGAAAAATAATAGCCATTAAGCACATTATACAAAAGAGACACCTTTTCTAACGCAGCTAACAATAGAAGTCACCATGGTGTTATGGTGACTGATGAACAAGAAATGAGTGACATCTAACAGAGCTTGCGGCTGTGCCAGCTATTCAGTTCAATTCAATTCAATTCAATTCAATTCAATTTTATTTGTATAGCGCCAATTCATAACGGAAGTTATCTCAGGACACTTTTCAAATAGAGCAGGTCTAGACCGAACTCTTTAAAACATTAATTACAGAGACCCAACAGTACCACCATGAGCAAGCACTTGGCGACGAGGGCAAGGAAAAACTGCCTGTTTAAAGGCAGAAACCTAGGACAGATCCTCCGGCTCTAGGTGGGTGGTCATCTGTCTATCACATCATTTCCTCCAAGATGGTCATGAGAGAAGTCATTTTCTGATTTTAATGTAGGTTCAGGGCTCTGAATGGCAGAGGGGCAGCTGGGAGCACAGATTTCTCATTAAAGCTGCAGCAGGTAACTTTTATAAAACTAACTCTTTGCCATATTTGCTGAAACTTTCACTATATCCTGACAGTAGTAAATGAGTCTGATAATCTGTGAAAAATATAGGTTCCTCTGGCTCCTCCTGGTGCTCCTAATGGCATTGCAAGAATCCACCTAGGCTCAATGAAAACAACCAATCAGAGCCACAAGGAGTGTGACAGTCCATTTGTTCAGTTGAAGAGGTTGTCTGGACCATCATCTCATTCCACTGTTGGACATGTTGCACACCGCAGCTGCCTCTGAAACCTGGGGCAATCTGTCCTGGAACCACGGAGAGCTGTTAGGGTTAGGGGTTACTGTTTGGAGAACAAACGAAGGCAGCGAAGGCCACCGGCTGCTTCTGGTCTGCTGCGGGTTTGGTAGAAGGGGCTTAGCGGGTTGATGTGAGCAGCAGAGAGACACATGGAAGGTTTTGAATTAAGCGTGTTCAAGTTACCTACTGCAGCATTAATAAAAAGAACTGCTTGTTGTTTTTTTCTCTGGTTGTTTTTGTCTGATATTCTCACTGACCATCACTACATTATGCATATAACATTGTGGGGTCAGCAGCAAACCACTGTGTCAATTTAAAAGCAGACAAACGATTGCCATGAAGGTTTTTTTAATGTCGGCTATTATGAAGTTGCACTTTGATTGCAGCTTTTTTATCTAGGCTATAGCTTCAAAAAATGGCATCTACAAATCAAGTCATGTCCCTGTGTTGGAATACCAATCAAGCACTGAAATAAGTCATAGAAGGCTCTTTGGAACAACCCATCCATCCTTGTTAGCCCAGTCAAGGTCCCATAAGCTGTTAGACGTGGGTCTGCATGCGTTTCTGCAGAGGCTTGGTGAGGTCTGAATTCTGGGAGGACGAATGAGAATAATGGGAGGAGGACGAGGCTGAGGTCTTGCTGTCCTTGTCGAACTGCACATAGCAGTCCTGCTTGCTGTAACTGCTGACGCTACTGTCACACTGTGTATCGATGAAAGAGCCGGAATCGCTGAGTGAGCTCCGCTGAAATTCCCGTTCGCACAGTTCAATGGAGCTGCTGCCCATGCCCAGGACGAGTCGCTGGCTGTAGTCGTACAGACGGTTGGGACCGGCTCCCAGGGTGTTGTAGATGTTGGTGAAGGACATGCCGGTGGGCACCCGCTGCTTGCCAATAGTCATAGTTCCAGTGGGTGGACTTCGGACTACATCGGGTGTCTGGCTGGGGGCCAGGGACATGGTGGGGGTGGCGTGATGCTCATTGAAGGTGTTGACACTGTAGTAGCCGTTGGTGGGGTCCTTTTACATGCAAAAGAATAAAAAAGAATTTTTCTCAGTGAGACAACAAACAACTGTTAGTGAATTAATTATTTTAAATAACTGTTTCTCAGACACAGTGCATCTATTAAAGTCAGCAACCAAACTACTATTGGTAAACTATAAAACAAGAACTGGTTTTCTCATCTGTCTCTACATTTTCTCACCTTCTCCTCTGAAGGTCAAAAGACCAAATGGTAATTAGAAAATGGGATGATGAACACAAGAAATTAAAAAACAGGCTAATTTGTGCAACATGAATAAGCAGAGGACGTGTTTTAGTATGAGTCATCTGCCTGTGACTCAGGAGGCCTATTCAGTTAATTAAAGCAAAAGAGAAAAAGACAGCAACAATGTAGTTTCCTAGTGGCAGAGTATGTATGTAAAACTGTAAATCGGGTGCGACGCTACAGCAAGATGGACGCGTAGCAGTGAGCTCCCACTAGTCGGTTTGAGAAAAGTACCTCCTATCAATAGAAGTAGCTTTGAAAACGTTTTTAAATCAAGTATGAGAGGAGGGAAACGAAAGGGTCAGAGGATTGACAGGAAAATGAACAAAGCTCAAGAAAACACGGAGGTGACCGAGTCTGCCGAACACGTGGATGATGGCGACCATGGAGGAACATCGACAGGTGAAGCTAACACAGCAGCTTGTATCCACCAAAACGCTCTGCTTGAAGGCCTGACATCACTCACTAAGGAGCTAAAAGACTTCAAACAAGATATGAGACAGGACCTGAGCGAATTTAAAAATGAAATTAAGAAAGCTGTGAAAGACGACTTCGCAGAGTTTAAAGAAGAAGTTTTGCAAGAGCTACAGATCCAAAACGCTAACATTGCGGAGGCACACATAGACACGCTATTGATGGTGGTGAAGCAGAACATGGAGATGCGAGACAAAATTGTCGATTTGGAGAGCCGTTCAAGAAGAAATAATATCAGGATCTATGGAGTGCCAGAAGAAAAAGAGGGGAGTTCAGTCGTTGAGTTTGTAAAAGAACTGCTTAAAAGCCGCCTTACCCTGCCTGACGGAGTGGAGCTCCAGATCCAGAGGGCGCACAGAGCACTGATCCCAAAACCAGCTGCTCCCTCATCCCCGAGATCAATAATAGTAAACTTTTTACAGTTTCATGTTAAAGAGCTGGTTCTTAGGAAAGTTTGGCAACAGAAGATTGAGATGAACGACTTTACTTTGACAACGATTACGCAACTGAAATCATGGAGAGACGCAAGGCGTATGGGCCCATCAAAGCGGCGCTGAAGGAGAAGGGGATCCGGTATAAGTCGCCCTACACGAAGATGCGAGTGCACTGGGATTCCGGATTGAGGATCTACGGGACAGCGGATGAAGTGGCTCAGGACCTCATTCGACGCGGAGTCAAGGTGAGGGTGACAACGAAGGTGAGCGCCGCGACGGCCTCCGAGGAGCGACTGGAAGCGGTGATGCCATGGAAACGCACCATCGCTTCAGAGAGCGCAGCTCTGCGCGCAAGAGAGAGGCTGACGGAGTTCAGACGAGGCACCGAGTGAGAGAACTGAAATGAATAAGGAGATAATTGTGGTCCAGGTGAACTCAAACATTCAATTCAATTCAATTCAATTTTATTTGTATAGTGCCAATTCATAACAGAAGTTATCTCAGGACACTTTTTAAATAGAGCAGGTCTAGACCGAACTCTTTAAAACATTAATTACAGAGACCCAACAGTACCATCATGAGTAAGCACTTGGCGACAAGGGCAAGGAAAAACTGCCTGTTAAAAGGCAGAAACCTAGGACAGATCCTCCGGCTCTAGGTGGGTGGTCGTCTGTCTCGACCAGTTGGGGTGAGAGAGAGAGAGAGAGAGAGAGAGAGAGAGAGAGAGAGAGGCAGAGAGAGAGAGAGCGAAAGACAGACAGACAGGTGCACAGTAACAACAGTATTGGCAATGGCAATCTAGCAGGACCATGGCAGGAGGCTCCACCAGGATCGACAAGAACCTGCGAGACGAGAAAGCACATTACTATTACGATATATTTTATTATTATTTACCTACTTGAATGAATATTTACTTTTGAGTGAGGAGTTTTGTTGAAAACATCCAACCCTGGGCCACACAGGATAAAAGACTCAGGACTTATGTTATTAAGTTAGTGAAACCGATTGGCGGTATGTAGTTTACACAAGCACCTAATGTTGGACAATTCTAGTAATAGTGGGTATCTTCTCACAACTAGGGAGGGCCCTCATAGAAATGAGGCACTTTACCCTCCTCCCACCAACAGGGACCTTAAGGGATGTCAAAACACATCCCTTCTTTTGGAAGTCACACTGTTATTGTTGTTCTATAGTTATAGTTAGAGTTGGATGGCCACACAAATTCATAAACAGTAATGTTGGAGTATATTACCAAGATGCTGTCGTTGAATGTTAATGGTCTGAATAATCCCATGAAACGACAGAAGGTGATGACTAAACTAAGGAGGGATAAAACACAGATTGTATACCTACAGGAAACTCATCTGTCTAGACAGGAAAGCGAGAAGCTCAAGAAGTTTGGCTACACAAAATTATTTTATAGTTAATTTCGCTATGGGTGTAGAAGAGGTGTTATCATACTTATTCCTAATTCGGTGAAATTTGAGTGTATCAAAGAAATCAGTGATAAAGAAGGGAGATATGTCCTTGTGAGAGGAAAACTGGAAAAAGAAATGGTGACATTGGTTAATGTATATGCTCCACCCAATAGTGGAAAGCTATTCTTTAAAACCTTGCTAGATACCATAATTTTAGAAATGGATGGAATACTAATATGTGGTGGAGACTTTAATATTGTGATGAATAGTAAATTAGATACAACAAACAAGAATAGAAGTACCAATCATGTCACCAAAGTAATTAAGAAAACATTTAAAGAATTTGGTTTAGTTGATACTTGGAGGGAATTACATACCTCTAAAAGAGACTACACACACTACTGGCCCCCCAATGACAGCTATGCCTGAATTGACTATTTTTTCATGAATAAAAAGGAGTTATATAGAGTACAGAAATGTGAAATTCAACAAGCAGACGTATCGGATCACTGTGCGGTTTATCTTGAAGTTAAATTAAAACCGCAGGAGAAAAGTACACTATGGAGGTTAAATGTAGGAATACTAAATAACAAATCAATAGTGGAAGAGCTAAAGAAAGACATCACAATTTATCAAAAGGAAAATAACAATGGAGAGGTCACGCCTGTTGCTTTGTGGGATGCCCTGAAAGCAGTGATTAGAGGAAAACTTATTGCAAAGACAGGAGCAATTAAAAAAACTAAAGAGGAAACTTATATGAAGGAAAAGGAGAAACTGCTCAAAATTGAAAAGCAACATAAAAATACACGAGATTCTTCACTGCTTCCAAAAATTAAAGAAATCAGGGAGAATATAGATAGACTACTAGTTACAGAAATTGACAAGAAGACAAGATTTCTAAAACAATCTTACTATGAAGTGGGGCCGAGGGCAACCAACTTATTGGCTAAAAGATTAAAAAAACAACAAGCGGACAGGACAATTCATAAGATAAGGGATATAAACACAAATCAGATAGTCAATGAACCCAAGGAGATTGAAACTAAATTTATGAACTATTATAGAGATTTATATAGCCAGCCCCCATCTGCTGATACAGACCAAATGAAAGCTTTTCTTGACAGACTGGACTTACCAGCAATTGGGAGAAATCAGAACGACCTCCTGACTTCACCCATTACAAAAGAAGAAATACAAAAGACAGTAAATAAATTAAAAACAGGTAAATCTCCCGGCAGTGATGGCCTACCATCTGAGTGGTACAGAACATTTAGCGAGCAACTTATACCACTACTTGAATTATCATTTCATTATACACTTGAATATGGTGAAATCCCCCCATCCTGGAAGGAAGCAGTAATATCAGTGATCCCTAAGAAAAATAACAGCAAGACTTGTTCAGACTACAGACCTATATCACTACTTAATATAGACTATAAACTATATACTTCTATTATTTCCAAAAGATATGAGCACTTTATTAGTGACATTATTGAGGAAGATCAGACAGGCTTTATTAAGGGACATCAAACCCATGATAATATTAGGAGAACTCTACACATCATGGATTATATCCAAAACAAAAATATTAGTGCGGCCTTGATAAGCCTGGATGCGGAAAAGGCATTTGACAGTGTTAATTGGACTTTTCTATACCTGGCTCTTAAACAATTCGGACTCAACGACAAAGCCCTTGAATGTATTAAAACACTTTATCAAAGACCAACTGCAAGGATAAGAATAAACGGTAGCCTGACTGAGTGCATAACTAACGGTCTACCAGGCAGGGTTGTTGCTTGTCACCAACCTTGTTTGCAATTTTCATAGAGCCCCTGGCCCAAGCAATCAGGCAGAATAAAGATCTCAAAGGGATAAAGGTTGGGAGAGAAGTACACACCATTGGGCTTTTTGCTGACGATGTGATTTGTTATTTAGAGGACCCAGACACATGTATTCCCATATTAATCAACCAACTTGAAATGTTTGGTTTCTGCTCGGGATATAAGCTGAATCTGACTAAAACACAAATTTTAACATTCAATTATCACCCCCCTAAACACATACAATTAAAGTACAACTTGAATTGGAATGCAACAAAAATTGAATATCTTGGGGTCACCCTAACACGAAGAATCGACAAAATATACAAAGCCAATTACATCAAAGTGGATAAGGAAATTAGGAACGATATGGATAGGTGGGCTGTCCTTCCACTAGACATTGGTTTATGAATAGAGACCTTAAAAATGAATATTCTCCCTTGTATTCTCTACCTGTTTCAGTCGCTACCTATTGAGATACCTGAGAATATCTCAGGTATATATGGAATGGTCACAGACCAAGAATCAAATTTAAAACACTACAGATTGGGAAAGATAAGGGAGGCATGGCACTGCCAAACCTCAAGGAATATTTTCATGCAGCACAAATAGACCTGTAATTTGTTGGTGTGATGAAGATTATGTAGCCAAATGGAAAAATCTAGAGCAATTTGTGCAAGGAAGAGAAATTCAAAGCCTTATTGGAGACAGAGAAGAAGCATTAAGTATGACTGAACATGTAGACACTGTCACACAATTTACATTAAAAATGTGGTTTAATTTAGTACAAAAATACAGACTGGAGAAAGAGCTTAGACTAATTCAATGGATAGCCAATGATAGGCGTTTCTCTTGACCAGACATTTAAACAATAGATTTCAAGTGGAATAACAGCAATGTGTACACTAATTAAAAATGGGAATTTTATGAGTTTCCAGGAGATTAAACAAAAATATAAATTAAACAATCAGGACCATTTCATGAATTTACAAATAAGGGACTATTTTGACAAAGAAATAAAGTATAATGTAAATTTAGATAATAACGGAATAATCAGAACCATAATTGGAATATACAATTCAAAGAAATACAGAATAATATCTACAATGTATTGCAATCTAATGGAGAGAAGAGGGAATACAACTTTATACGTGAAGCTGCAATGGGAAAGAGAACTGGGAGTGAATATTTCTGAAGATGAATCAAAAACAGTCAACCACATCATCATGTGCTTGGAGATTATTTTGTTGGAAGAACTTAATTAGATTCTTTATCACACCTAAAATCCAGAACATATACCTGTCGGTACCACAGCCATGTTGGAGAAAGTGTGGGGCAACAAATGTAGACCATTCTCATGTTTCTTGGCTTTGCCCTAAAATTATAAAATTTTGGGAGGATGTTCACCTGGTTATTGTCAGAATTCTGGATTATGATATACCTAAGTCATGTGTATTACTTTACTTTGGCAATATGACAGGGAATGTTGTGTTAAAAGAGGACAGATACTTCTACAAAATCTTGTTAGCAGCTTGTAAAAAAGCAATTACGAGAAAATGGTACAAACCAGATCCACCAACACAAGATGACTGGCTGAAAATTGTGAATGAAATATATGTCATGGAGCAGTTGACCCATAAGATAAGGACTCAAGAGGAACAAAGTCGAGAAAAGTGGGAAAAATGGAGTGTCCACACATCAATGACAGGATAAGGACTATTACACTGACATTATCACTGGAACAAACTGTAGAGACATGGCAATCCAGCATGTTCCTTTTTTGATGTTGCTTTGTTTTCTTTTTTTTTCTTTCTCCTTTTTTTTTCTTTTTTCTTTGCCAGTGTTTATATGTTGCATAAAAAAAAGGCAATAAAAAAAAACAGCAAATCAACTAGGAATCGTGCAGAAACATGATAAGAACAGTGATAGTAGGTGGAATAGTGAAAGTTGTGTTGGAGAACATCCACATCATATAAAAATCTGGATCAGAGAGAAGAGCCCAAAAGCTGCAGGTTTTAATGTAAATCTGAGTGCGGTATGGTAGGGCCCTAAACCTGTTTCTCACCTCCAAACAACAGAAATTATGAAATTAAACCCTGCTTGTTAATGTTAATTAAAGTGGCTTGTACACTCCTATAGTATGACTGAATGTTAAAATGGGTAAAATTTAAAACTGTTAGTAAGAGCTATAATTCCACATCTCAGATGTAGCTGCCCTCATGGGTTCACAATTTCTTCTTTCTTCTTTTCTTCTTTTTGCAGTCAAACAAAATCCTGTCAAAATTGTTCAATGTGCTACCAGCTAATTAGCCATCTGGCCTGCAAACATAGCTATGCACTTTTCCCTGGGGGACGTTCAATAACTCATTCGACAAGTTGAGGTACAACAAAAATGTGTCCACATTTGTAGATGCAAAGGAAGGCCATGTGTGGCTAAACTTTTTTTTTGTTCTTTTCTGCTTGGATTTTGTTACTCAGCAACTGCAAACATTGTATGGATGTGCATGTTCATAACTACCTTGATGCAAAGGAGGCATTAAGGAGAAAGTGGGCTGCCTCTTTCCATCTTGTGTTGTCTGGCTGTTAGTCACTGTTACCATTTAAAGTGAAGTAATTTGACAAGCTACTTTATAGAAATAGAAAAACAAGTGTGTTCCAACTGGTGTAATGCATGCACAGACAGAGGGCGCTGTCAACACATTCAAACTCCAAACATGTCAAAGTTCTGCTCCGTGGTCAAGTTGGCTAGTATAAATATGCAACTTTCGTTTACACTTTTGCGTGGTCTTAAACTTACATTTCTGTGGAATGGCCAACAGCTCCACTGACATGCAATTTCATGGAGAAATCACCCGACTTCTCACTTGATTTATTAGGTCAGTAAACAGTTTCCTAATGGTAAATGGACCTGTACTTGTATAGCACCTTTCTAGTCTTCCGACCACTCAAAGCGCTTTTACACTACGTGCCACATTCACCCTTTCACACACATTCACTCAGTGATGGCAAAGTCCATCGAACAGAAACTAACATTCATACACACTCACACACCGATGCATCGGGAGCAATTCGGGGTTCAGTATCTTGCTCAAGGATACTTCGACATGTGGCACCAGGAGCCGGGGATCGAACCCACAACCTTCCGATTAAGGAACGACCTGCTATGCCTCTGAGCCACAGCCGCCCCTAATGAGTTTATGGTCTCTCTAGTTTCAAGTCTTCTTCCATACACCATGTTGCTTATTTTGTAGTTTTGTATTAAGTATGGTCCCATTTAGAGGGTATGCTTTAGGATGTGGCTACCTTTGTTATTGTCATCCTCAGTGAGTCCATCCAGCTCAACGCACCAAACTGTCAAACAAGGCAGTGGTGATCAAATATGAATCGAGATTCTGTAACTGCATTGAAATTTTTTCCTGCAACAGCAGCTCAACTTGCAGTATGTCACATCCGTAACCCCAACAAACCGTTATTGTGATGAACATAATGCTGAAATCGAAGCCTCAAAACGTTACTTGACAAACAAATGGCTAATGTCACACTTAGTACTTTGTAGTTTGGTTAGGTTTAGGCACAAAAATGACTTGGTTAGGTTTAGGAAAAGATCGTAAGTTATGTTACACACCTGACATAACTTAAGTACATTAATAAGTACATTATTTTTGGTATTAGATAGGACATGAACAGTGGTCTCCTGGGTTATACGTAGATCAACACCTCACTTCAGAAAGACTACAGCATCATATTTTCAAGCGGAGGACCACTGACCACGCTGCAGTATTTAATGACTTGGGAGTGAGCTGTTATGAAACAAAAAATGATCTAATACATTTCTCTCTTTCTGAAACTTTTTTAAATGACTATTTACAGAACAGATCTTCATGCAACAGCAAAGACAAAATTACATGTATTTTAATTTCAGTTGGACATTTGGGGTATTTTTTATACCTCCACATGAAAACATTTTGGGAGACAGTTGGTCCTCAGAGTGAAAAGTTAAGATGCAGTGAGCACTGTGATGTTTAACACCAAAGCTATGAAGGGCTATGACAGACAACTTTATTACTTTCAGTCTTCTACCTAAGGTTCAGGTGTGACTGTGTAGAGCTTTAAATTACTCTAAGGTGGTAGAACATGGCTGACTAAATGAGAGTAATAAGAGACCGACTTATCAAACCAGAGAAGGGAGAAATACAGACATAAATAACTTTCATGGTTATCTCTTTTTACAAAATTTTCTACTAACCCCACAGGGTTCAAAAGAAAAATTAGAAGTGAGAAACAACCATTTATCGGAATTAATCAGAAGGTTGTTGGTTCGATGCCCGGCTTCTCCCGTCACATGCCGAAGTGTCCTTGAGCAAGATACTGAACCCCGAATTGCTCCTGATGCTGTGCATCGGTGTGTGAATATGTATGAAAGGGTGAATATGGCATGTAGTGTAAAAGCTCTTTGAGTGATCGGAAGACTAGAAAGGCGCTATACAAGTACAGGTCCATTTACCATTTACCATCCTCTGTGTGTATGTGCAGATGTGTAGATGGCCTACTCTTGATAGGCACTGGTGAAAAAGAATGCCGTGTTCTAAAGCTTTTGTGAACTATATTTACTTTTAAAAGGTCAAGGATCTAGTGGGAGAAACATAATAAAATATTCAAAGGTATGCTTTCATTAGCTAATAATCACTTAAATGGAGTTCGCCATGTTTCCTCAGTAGCCCAGAAGGGACAAATCAAAGCTCTAGAAATGGGTGTTTGCGTTTTTGGGGCCTTTGGCAGCCATTTTTCCTTTGCGCTTGGAAGTGGAGGGTGAATCGAGGGAGTTGCGATCTGCAACTACACTGCCAGATGATTAATTGTAATGGACAAGACAGAAGTATTATATTGTATTGGCAGGAAGTCAGACACAGAAATGGTATAAAGAATCCGGTCAATTTTCAAAATAAAATACCCCATTCAGACTCCAGAACAAACATGCTACATCAACATTCTGGCACCAGGCCAGAAGCCTGGCAGGTCAGAGGAGATTTAAAACAAAAGAAACACACCATTTTGTATCCTTTGTAAGGACAAAATACACAAGTCAACAACGTTGGGCAGGCAACTGAGCAGTCACATTTCCTGCTTGTTTCCCACCTTAATGTGCTGGAACTCCTTTTCTTCCTCCTTGAGCACCTCTAGTGGCTTCAGTACGGGTTCCTGCTGGAACTCACCACGGTCAATCTGCATCATGGTTAATCAGAGTCATCAGTAGTCGTACAGTGAACGGAATAAAGAATGAGAAAAAAGAATGCATATAGATAGATAGACTTTATTAATCCCCAGAGGGAAATTGGGTATATCAGTATTTGACAAGCTGGTGACATCAGAGTGTAATACTATGGTGGACAAAAGAGCTCAAGCTCAAGAGAACACATGCAAATAGACAAAACACAAGCAACAGAAAGCTGGACAGAAAGGGCAGTAGTATATCTGAACTGGACGACTTTCTTACAGGCTGGAAGCAAATCTTGGCCTGAGCCTTGATACATGGAGCACACGTTCCACTAGGTCTGTAAGGTTTCCTGCATTAAATAGGCCGGATTCACCCAGAGTGCCTCACAGTAAATTACCTTTAATTTTGATTTAAGAAGTTACTATTTCTTATTTGTATTAATCCTGTAAGAGTTTTTTGTTAAGCTAAGCTATTATCGGGCCTATTATTTCGATATTGAGGTCGGAGCTTTTATTTTGAAAGGGGTCTTGCCAGAAAAAGGTGTACAGTCGCTCGTCAAGTTTGGCAGCATGACGAAGCGCGCTTGCCTAATGTCGAAATTATCACTTTTTTTGTTTACCTAGCACCCAGTTGATAAGGGCACAAGGTTTGTTATGACTTTGTTATATATAGTGTTTAATGTTAAATCATATTTTGGCGCTATTGTGCAAGACTGCTACATTAGCTCTTTTGAGGCAACTCTGTCGGTCTAAGGGAGCCGTTATCATGATGGAGTTTGCTTGCTACTACAGTTTAAAAACTTATTTTATGTAAAATGTATTTAATGTATTTATTAGCACTCCAGCAGAGATTGTCACTAAGTTTAAAGTGGTGTTAAAAGGTGATATTTCATGATTTGAATCTTGTGATTGATTTTCTATCAGAAGTTAAAGGGACATGATTTTCAATTAGCTATTTAATTAAGCTCGTAAGTAAGTATTGGTTGTCTTCAGAATATAAAAGAAGATTAATATTTCACTTTTGTTTCTATCTGTAGCGTTTACGGTGTGTTCCAGATGTGTTCAAGGGTTAAGGGAGCTACACTGTTTGCTCATCAATAAATACATTGGGAAACATCAGTTAAAGAGTAGACCATCATACAGCTGGGGATGCAACACTCCACTCACCAAAACCCCAGTACTGATCCTCTTCGGAGTCAACATGCAAACAAGAATGAAGGCTGAGTCCTTACCTCAGGTACACGGGTTCCAAACCCTTTGCTGCATGTCATCTCCTCTTTCTCTACTACCTTTACAGTCTCTCCCTACTGTCACTATCCAAAAAGAAATTCATTCCCCTTAAAAAATGAGTGATGTGTAACTTTTGAATGTGTAAACTGAGCCTTTACCTTGAGATGTTTGTGCTCTAATAATGCCTATATTATTATCATGCAGGCTACAGGTTGTCTCTGCACAGCCTTGCAGTGGTCGCTTTCAGTGCATGTGCAGACTAGAACAACTGCACAATCAGAAATCCACAACATAAAAAACGGATGATACACAGACCATACTTAACTTCAGTCACCATCCATGGCACAACAAGTGTATTGGGAGCTTGTTTTCTAAATGCTGCACATGTTGATGTTCTAATTTGCTTTTGTTTTGTCTATATGCATGTGTTTCTTAAGTTGCAGTGTGTCTCTTGGCCACTGTATAATACTGCTTTCGCTCACCATCATCTGTTTGATGTTGGTATGCTCCTCACTCTGCCGTGCTGCATTGTGATCCTTGTGGACGATCTCCACCCGAATGTCCTTTTTTGCTGAACCCACTCCTTTGAGATCTGGAGGAGAGGGAGAGATGGAGCAGTGCAGATAATTGGTGTAAGCTGATAGATGCACTGGTCCTGTATGACACCGTATTCCCGCCTAATGCACTCAAGGCAGCTTCAAAAGCCACAGCTTTCCTCAGATCTCACTGCGACGGTGGTAATAAAGACTGTGGTGCATACCGAACACTGTTTCCTGCCTACTGCAGTGTGACCTTAACTTACCTACTGAGCACTTGGATAAATCTCACATTGATAACACTCACTTGTCCCAGAACCTCAAAGTGTGATACTGATCAATGTCTATAATCTAATAATGCAGCTGGGTGTAGCTGATCTGAGAGTATGAATATAAAATTCCTGTCCGGTCACAATGATTAGTTTACTTTAGCTCACACAGGCAACAAGAGGCTTATATGAAATGATCCTGGTTACTTCTTGTCTTTTGGCATTCTGAAATTCTACAGACTGTAGAGACAAAGTTTTATCTGGAGTTTGTAACAAAAATAAGTTTCCCCCTGGAATTATTGAAGTATTTCTGATTCTGATTCTGAGAAGTTTTCTTTTTTTTAAAGCTGCAGTAGTTAATTTTTATAAAAAAAAATAGTTTCACTATATCCTGACAATAGTACATGAGTAAAATAATCTGTGAAAGAAACAAATGCCATGGAGCACTAGAATGAGCCACAGGAACCTGTTTTTTTCACAGATTATCTGTCTCCTGTACTACTGTCAGGATATAGTGAAAGTTTCAGCAAATATGACAAAAAAATTTTTTTTTAATAAAAGTTACCAACTGCAGCTTTAATAGAAGAGTTATTCACAGAGTTATTGCAAATGTTCTCCCAGTGATATGGCTATTAAACTAATCAATCTGCAGGCCCTGGGTACAGCATTGCTAAGTGGTACAAAGTTACTAAAGGGAATACTGTGCCTGAAATAAGCAGAAAAAAAAGCTGAGAGCTATCTTTCAAAGAAGGAAATGGCATCCTGTGGGGTGAGCTCTTATTTTTATTTTTTATGTTTGATAACATTTGAAGGAATGCTATCCATTACACTGTTTCAGTTATAAGTGTAAAGTACTACAGTGTATAGCTCAGTATGGTTAAGTTTGAATTTAAAAATAACCTGCTTTTAATATTTTTTTCATGCTTTCATTCATAACTGTTACATTTTTAAAATGTTCTATCCTAAGTACTGGTCATTGGTAGTTACACTGGTCAGGTAAATGATACAGGCTAGCTTGTTACTAAAGTGACTTATTTCTTCCTGTAACAAGCTTGTTTTGATAGGTAGTCCAGGGTATAACCTATAGCAGGATCTATTGGCAGAAATTGAAAATAATATTTATAGGTATGTTTTCATTAGTGTATAATCACCTGAAAATAAAAATTGTGTTTTCATTACCTTAGAATGAGATGGCTTCATGTTTCTACAGTAGGCCAGAACAGAAAAACCAAAACACTGGCTCTAGATAGGGCCTTTTGCAGCCACTGTAGTTTCTCTACACATGCTTGGAAGGCTGAGCTGTATTCAAACAGTTGTACAAAACTCGAATCAGCTCTTTAAGGCAAAAATCGCATTTCATGTTGCTGTCTGGACTTCCTTATCAATCTAGATAATGTGGCTATGCCAAATAAAAAAAATTGGGGCTTTTGGGATTTTTTAAGCCCCATATTAGACACAAAGAAAGTGTTTTTGTGGGGAGAGGTTTTGGTCCTGGTGGACCGCAGCCGCCTGCCAGAGGGGTGAGGTTAAAAAAATTTGTGGCCAGGGTGGGAGGGGTCAGCCACAATCTTGCCTGCACGCCTCAGGGTCCTAGAGACGTACAGGTCCTGGAGGGATGGCAGATTGCAGCCGATCACCTTCTCAGCGGAACAAATTATACTCTGTAGTCTGCCCTTGGCAGTGGCAGCAGCGTACCAGATGGGGATGGATGAGGTGAGGTTGGACTTGATGATGGCAGTGTAGAAGTGCAGCATCATCGTCTTTGGCAGGTTGAACTTCCCCAGCTGCCGCAGGAAGTACATCCTCTGCTGGGATTTCTTGGTTCCTGGCGTAGGTTCCTGGGGAGTCCAGATGCTGGAGGGTGAAGTGCAGTGCCATGTTTACTGCATTGTCTACACCCTGTTGACTCTGTACGCGAACTGCAGGGGGTCCAGGAGTGGGTCCGTTATAGCTTTCAGGTGGGAAAGCACAAGGCGCTCAAAAGACTTCATGACCACAGAGGTGAGGGCAACAGGTCTGTAGTCATTTAGTCCTGTGGTCCTTTCTTTGTTGGGGACAGGGATGATGGTGGATGGCTTGAAGCAGGCTGGCACATGACATGTCTCCAATGAGGTGTTGAAGATGTCCGTGAACCCCGGAGACAGCTGGTCAGCACAGTGCTTCAGGGTGGATGGAGAGACAGAATCTGGTCCGGCTGCTTTGCGGGGGTTCTGCCTCTTAAAGAGCCTGTTGACGTCCCTTTCTTGTTGGCAGAGAGTCGGCACTGTGGTGGAGGAGGAGGGATTCACATAGGTGTGAAGTTGTGGAGTGGCCCCGGCTCCTGCTGAGCTGCCCAGTCGGTGTGGGGGACAGCGTGATAAGCTCTGCTGACTGTAGTGTAACAGTGATCCAGTATGTTCTTCTCTCTGGTCAGGCATTTAATAAACTGTTTGTATTTAGGAAGTTCGTGACTGAGGTTCCGCTCTGAAGAGTTGGAAGCCTGCCAGCTGCAGCGCAGAGTCCGGTATCGATCCACCCAGCCACGTCTCCGCGAAGCATAAAACAGAGGATGAAGAAAAGTCACTGTTTTTCCCCAGAAGTAGCTGAAGTTCGTCCATTTTGTTGCACAGTGAACGCACGTTGGAGAGGAATATTCCAGGTAGCGGTGTGCGATGTCCATGCTGGCGTAAACGGACAAGCGCACTGGCACGTTTCCCTCTCACTGCGTGAGCAAAGGTGAGTGCACCTTTGACCACAATGTCCAATAATTTCACGGAAGAAAGAAGAAAAGTGGGAAAGAGATCATCTGGGGTTATTCCCCTGATGTTCATGAGCTCTTCTCTAGTGAAAGAGCCCTGGGTATCACAGCCGAAAACTGAGGCAACCGTCTGTGCCGCCATCTTAGGTCTGGTCCACTCTTTGCAAAGTTTGATTGATGGCGGCCATGTTTCTTGAACAGTCTTGCGCATTTATGATGTATATCTCAGTCTCACAATGCTCTATACCCAATTTGGTGTTGGTAGAGTCAAAGTCCAGTTCATTTCACATTATGCAAATTACAGCAGCACAAATTCCATAATCATTTTGTAGAGCACAGTGAGCTGTATGTCAAATGTCAAGTCAATTGGCCTTACTTACATGGCGTGGCTTTTCAAAAAAAGCATTCCCCACATAACTTTGACATTACAACAACTAGCACATATTTTTTTATTTTTAGTTATTATTAGTTATTTAGTTATTTTTTTAGTTTCTATGTTTTTATTCATTTCTGATGTGCACGCTGTTGTCCAAAATGTGTTGGTGTATCTGACAAGTTTCATTACTGTCTGATTTCTACCACCTCTTCTCTGTCAAGAAAACTTGTGCAGAGCCTGTATCTGATTTAAACAGTATATGTAAAATGATTGTTGTATAATGTCATGTTGAATTTAGATTTTTGTCAGAGCAGCTTCTGCTTTAGTATGCATGGGAAAAAGGTTAGGACCCAGAAAAGGATTTCCTCTGTTTTGGCTATGAAATTTAATTTTTTCGTCATGGATATATATGTAGTTATTAATGCTGTCAAACGATTAAAATATTTAATCGCGATGAATCGCATTAATGTCATAGTTAACTTGCAATTAATCGCAATTAATCTATTCTAAATGTCCCTTGATTTCTTTTTGTCCCATTATTTTCTCTCATTTAAATGCTCTTATCAACATGGAAAAGTGGATCGGCTTGCTTTGTGCAAATGTTGTTTTTATTGAAAAATCATCCATTGTCGCCTGGCTTTGACGAGAGCGCGGAGAATTCGCAACAGCTGTGTGCCTGGCCATCAAGTGGTATTTTAGACTGGACGTGCTGTGATGATAGCTCAGTTCACAACGACAAAACTCACAGATCACTTTGGTCTTGTCAATGGAACCATTTGGCAACTTTTTAAAAGTAAACTTACCATTCAGAATATTATTGGCATCCATTTCGGCGTCTCGCGTGCCATCCACTCAAAACGTAACGTCTACTAGTCTTAAACAAGTGTGTGCGGCGTGCCTGTTGTTTTGTTTCCAGTCTAGCTAGATCCGGTGTGGTGTTGTAGTTTTTCTAACGTTACTAGGACCAGGAAGCAGAGCTGCGGTCTTACACACTTCTCTGCGCTTTCTTTAGAACACTCACCCACCCAAAACCCCATAGAGACTGTGTCTGTCCCCCGACCACCTAAATTATTTAAAGAAATAAAAACAAGAGGAGTTCAACATAAAAATCTAATAATGATGATTCGAGCGTTTTAATGGACCCTAAACCTAAACTAAATTATAATTCATTTGAAAGCCTTGTGCTTAGTCTTTCTCACCCAAACTGGAAAACATTGCAGCCAGTTCTATTTGTTATAGTGTACCGTGCTCCTGGACCGTACTCTGATTTTATATCTGAATTCTCAGAGTTTCTATCAAGTTTAGTCCTTAAATCAGATAAAGTAATTATTGTAGGTGATTTTAATATTCATGTGGATGTTGACAATGACAGCCTTAGTAATGCATTTATATCATTAATAGACTCAATTGGCTTCTGTCAGAGTGTAAATAAACCAACTCATTGTTTTAATCACACTCTTGACCTTGTTTTATCATATGGCATTGATATTGAACATTTAATAGTCTTCCCACATAATCCTTTCCTATCTGACCATTATTTAATAACTTTTGAATTCATACTATTAGATTATAAGCCATTAGGCAAAACTTCCTACAGCAGATGTCTATCTGACAGTGCTGTAGCTAAATTTAAGGAGGAGATTCCTTCAGTGTTTAATTCAATGTCATGTCTTAATTTAACAGAGTCCTATAACGACTTTAGTCCCTCTGAAATTGATAATCTTGTCGATAGTGCTACAGGCTCACTACGATCAACATTAGACTCTATCGCTCCTATAAAAAGGAAATTATTAAAACATAGGAGACTAGCACCCTGGTATACCCACCAAACCCGCCAGTTAAAACAAATAGCTAGGAAATCTGAAAGGAAATGGCGCTCTTGCAAATTATCAGAATATCGCTCAAATTGGCAAGATAATCTTAAAAATTATAGAAAGGCCCTCCATAATGCCAGAGGAGCCTATTACTCAGCAAGGCTGGATTACTGCAACTCTTTATTATCAGGTTGCCCCAATAAGTCCATTAAAATGCTCCAATTAATTCAGAACGCTGCAGCACGAGTACTGACAGGAACTAGAAAAAGAGATCACATCTCTCCTGTACTAGCTTCTCTGCATTGGCTCCCTGTAAAATGTAGAATAGAATTTAAAATCCTCCTCCTCACCTATAAAGCTCTTCATGGTCAGGCCCCTTCATATCTTAAAGAGCTCATAGTACCCTATTACCCCTCTAGAATACTAAGTTCTCTGAATGCTGGGCTACTTGTGGTTCCTATAGTCTCTAAAAGTAGAACAGGAGCCAGAGCCTTCAGTTACCAAGCTCCTCTCTTGTGGAACTAGCTTCCATTTGTGGTTCGGGAGGCAGACACCCTCACCACATTCAAGAGTAGGCTTAAGACATTCCTCTTTGATAAAGCTTATAGTTAGGGCTGGATCAGGTGAGTCCTGAACCATCCCTTAGTTATGCTGCTATAGGCCTAGACTATCGGGGGATTTCCCATGGTGCACTGAGCTCCTCCCTTCCTCTCTCTTTCTGCACTCATTCATGTCCCATTAATGCATGTTACTAACTTCACTTCTTCCCTGGAGTTCTTGTGCTTTCTCGTCTCGCAGGTTCTTGTCGATCCTGGTGGAGCCTCCTGCCATGGTCCTGCTAGATTGCCATTGCCAATACTGTTGTTGCTGTGCACCTGTCTGTCTGTCTCTCGCTCTCTCTCTCTCTGCCTCTCTCTCTCTCTCTCTCTCTCTCTCTCTCTCTCTCTCACCCCAACTGGTCGAGACAGACGACCACCCACCTAGAGCCGGAGGATCTGTCCTAGGTTTCTGCCTTTTAACAGGCAGTTTTTCCTTGCCCTTGTCACCAAGGTCTTGCTCATGGTGGTACTGTTGGGTCTCTGTAAATAATGTTATAAAAAGTTCGGTCTAGACCTGCTCTATTTGAAAAGTGTCCTGAGATAACTTCTGTTATGAATTGGCGCTATACAAATAAAATTGAATTGAATTGAATTGAACTAGTTGTTCAACAGCATGTGAAAAAAACTACAAAGTTAAACAAATGTTAATCTCGCGATAAAAAAAATTGACGCTGTTAAAATGGGTTTGCGTTAACGCTGTTAATAATGCATTTAACTGACAGCACTAGTAGTTATGGATGGCAGACTATGGTACGAAGGTGGTACAGAGAATACATTACTGTAGGATCATATTAGTTTTCATTTTGTGTTGTTTTTTAAAATTATACAACAATGAAGTTAGCAAAAACACTTTACAGCATTGATCCACTGGAAGCATTTGCAGACACTGCTGATCATACTGCGAGCATGGAATCTTTCAAATACTTTTTATTAAAGGCCTTACTTTCTGTTTTTACATCTCTCTGGCGCGAAAGGGACACAGGAAGAGAAGACATGACCAGATGGACGTCCTCTGTGGAAAGTGACAAAACAACAGAGCAGTTAACAGAAACCAGCTCTTTGGCCCCTTTTCCGCCAAATTAGTTCTTGAACCAGTTCCTTTAAAGATTCTTGGAACCTTAAATGTCTCAATGTTGACCTAGGGTGAATAAAAGCAGCATAGAGACAAAGAAGTTTCTTTGTGACTTAATGCAACAAAACTCAAAAAACATTCAAGACTTCTTGTGAGCAGGATCCACCACCACCATTTATAAAAACCACTAGCACAGAATGAAAAACAAAATAACTAAACTGCCTTCCTGTTTTCGTCTGACCCAAAACTTTAATTAAGTGGGATCTTACTTCTCTGGAATCTGGTGCAGCAGAAAGCGCCTAATGTCCCCAGGAGGATCGAGAGAGCGAAGAAGGCTACCACTGCCACCCCGACAATGACAGCTAGTCGCAGAGTATCTGAACAAAAACACAAACAATTCAAAAGGACTACATCCTCTTTCCCTTGCCTTTAGACACACTCACGCTGATGCATTAGCACATAATTAGTTTTATTACTGAGGCCACTGTTTACACTTTACATCAACACACGGATTTCTCTGATATTGTAATGTTGATGTCATTATAGGATCTCGGGAGGCTTTCCAGCAGGTGATTATGTGTCCTCAAATGGGACTGGTCAGGAGTCAAATCTCAATGAAGTCCAGATCCTTGTTAAAACACATTTTTGTTTATGCTCAATAGCATTCATGTTGATTCTATAAGACTAGACAATAATAAAAGAAGGGAAAGAAGACATGAAGTCATAAAAATAAGACCTCATACACTATTTCTAGATGATGCAATTATGATTACAAGTTGGATTTGTGATCATGACATAATCAATGTTTTCACAGATCAGACATAACTCTGAGAAGTTCACCTCAGACTGAGAGTTATAAAGGTTGCATTCAGAAAAATACATTATTTACTCTAGGAACTTGACAGGCTTTAGTCTGTCTCCTCCAGTTTCTGTTTACTACTAACCTTCACCACACAAACAGACAAATGTTAGTACAATTAATTCAGCAAGGTAGGTAAGGTTTGTGATTGAAATATCTTTTCTTAGTTAGTAATCTGCACCCTCATTTTTTGCACACAAATTATTTGTCCTCACCAAGCTGCAAACGAAGCCAATACAGAAGAATTGCAGTTTAAATGGCCACTTGAGGCTGGCTCCAGCAGTGAGTCAATCTCCATAAGGCCCCATGTTAAAAGGCCTACTTTACAGAAGAAATAAACATGTACAGCCCTGGTCTCTATAGCTAATTTTCCTGTTCATGACAACTGTATAGCTGCAAATTTTCAAATAACTCACGCGTTTTAATTATATTGAGGCTTAAAGATATGTATGATTAAGGGTGTGGCTCCGTTGAGTGACAGATGGGTGCTGTCACAGATGGCTGTTTTCAGTAACCAGGCTTCACTCAGCCTGCCTCAGATCCACCCACACTCCCCCTATTTGCCTACTTTTGGATTAGCTGGGAGCCGGTGGAGTCAGGACCACACTGAGGTTCACAACAGCTCTTTAGAAACCTATGGGTAAAGTCACGGACACTGCATACGTTTTAAATTTATTTAATGTATGGTCCACTATCACACTGATAATACTGACTGTACTAGTATTACCACACCAAGATTTCTGTCTGGTATGCAGTTGTCCTCACCTTGTTCTTTGAGTCGTATGATCTCAGTGTCAGACCCGAAGCTGTTCCATGCTGTGCAGTTGTATATAGTCTGGAAATCAGCAGGGACGATGTTACTCATGGTCAGTGTGGAGATCACCCCCTCCTCTGTACTGACTGTCTCCACAGTGTAGCGTCCAGATGTCCCTGACTCTAAAACTGTCTCCTTCCAGGACCAGGCCTAAGAGACAACATAAGCATGTTAGTGGGAGCACACCCATAACAAAATGGTAGATGCTTACTAACACATATGTACAGACACGTGAAACACCCACACTTTCCCTGAAGTGCACTGTGATGCATCACAAGCAGGGTGACTGACATTCACTGTTATCAGTTTCTTTTTTTAAACATGTTGTTGTAGCTGTTGGCCTGGTTTCCCCCAACTGTTCCTACTCTAAACATTAGGATAATGCATGCCGCTCACTACTGTGGGCGTCAAGAATTATGACTTAATGTTTCCTAATTATCCCTTAATGTGAATGAATAAAAATGTATTTTACTGGGAAATATCAGAAGCAAACTACACTAATTATTGATGCTTCTCACTGGTCGTTTGTCAAATTCCCTGCTGTTAAAATAAGTTAAAAAATATCCTTTTTTTTAACTTAAAAAAAAAGTAAGAAATTACAAATTACAAAATTGATATATTAACATCTAACATTGCATTGCACCAGTTTCTTTAAAAGTCTTGGTTCTCTGTTTTAGTGTGGTGGTGTTTCAGACAAAATCTGTGGAAAGTTATCTAGTAAATGGTAGGAGGGATTATGTGACTCACGATGCGGTCGGGAGGAGGGGTGCTGCGGATGAAGCATTTGATCTGACCCTTTTCTCCGTAGAGTGCCTGCTGGGTCTGGGTGCTGGAGATAGTGGGAGGACCTGTAGAGACATTGCCAAGGCAGAAACACTCACAATAAAGACTTGGCCATACGTCTTTCTGGAAATCGCAGCACATGTATTAACTGCTCTAGGAGAGGCAGCTCCAAGGGGATAGCCAAGCTCAAGTCCCATTAACAGTTAACGCAGAGACAGTATTTATTTGCTGGTTTAACTGGTTTTGCTCAAGTTGTTGCAGAGGTAGTTAAACCAGCCTGAAGTCAGTTCACCTATTTTTTAAAAATTCTTAGATAGAGTTTCCTCATCTTTACAGGGCTGGTATAGATTTTTAGAATTTAATCAGCAGTATAGATCATACTAACTAGAATCAGACTGATGCATAGGATTTTATGGTAAGTGGACCTGTACTTGTATAGCGCCTTTCAAGTCTTCCAACCACTCAAATCGCTTTTACACTACGTGCCACATTCTCCCTTTCACACACATTCACACAGTGATGGCAAAGTCCATCGAAGAGAAACTAACATTCATACACATTCACACACCGATGCATGGCATCGGGAGCAATAGGGGGTTCAGTATCTTGCTCAAGGAAACTTCGACATGTGGCACCAGGAGCCGGGGATCGAACCCACAACTTTCCGATTAAGGAAAGCCTCTGAACCACAGCCGCCCTTTTTTATCTAGATATTGTTAAATAAGTAACAAATGAGAGCTATCCTATGATACATTTATAATAATTTACAGACAAGGAGTGTAATACAAAAACAATGAATACAAAGATTGCATTGCAAATAGTGCATTCGGTCTTTGCAAACGGAAGTTATTAACATTCACTGTATATTTGCATATGGAGCGGGGAAATGAGATCCGATCACTCGAAATGCATGTGGAGACACATCTTAATGTCACATATAAACACGGTCAGACATGCTCTGACATTTGGCTTCTGTGCTGCTACATGTTGTACACAGAATGACAGCTATGACGCTAAAGAGGCTCTTGCAAATTGAGGAACTGCTGACCATGAGAAATCAAATATTTATTTTTCTTCTGCACACCATTTTTCCTCAGAAGGCCTTTAGGGCCCAGCCTACCACCATTTACAAAACCAAACACATCAGTAGAATAAAGAAACATCCTATCACAGACAGATGCAGAAAAACTAATCCATGCATTTGTTACTTCGAGGCTGGATTACTGCAACTCTTTGTTATCAGGTTGCCCCAAGAAATCCATTAAAACGCTCCAATTAATTCAGAACGCTGCAGCACGAGTACTGACAGGAACTAGAAAAAGAGATCACATCTCTCCTGTACTAGCTTCTCTGCACTGGCTCCCTGTAAAATGTAGAATAGAATTTAAAATCCTCCTCCTCACCTATAAAGCTCTTCATGGTCAGGCCCCTTCATATCTTAAAGAGCTCATAGTACCCTATTACCCCTCTAGAACACTATGTTCTCTGAATGCTGGGCTACTTGTGGTTCCTATAGTCTCTAAAAGTAGAACAGGAGCCAGAGCCTTCAGTTACCAAGCTCCTCTCCTGTGGAATCAGCTTCCAGTTGTGGTTCGGGAGGCAGACACCCTCTCCACATTTAAGAGTAGGCTTAAGACGTTCCTCTTTGATAAAGCTTATAGTTAGGGCTGGATCAGGTGAGTCCTGAACCATCCCTTAGTTATGCTGCTATAGGCCTAGACTATCGGGGGATTTCCCATGGTGCACTGAGCTCCTCTCTTCCTCTCTCTTTCTGCACTCATTCATGTCCCATTAATGCATGTTACTAACTTCACTTCTTCCCCGGAGTTCTTGTGCTTTCTCGTCTCGCAGGTTCTTATCGATCCTGGTGGAGCCTCCTGCCATGGTCCTGCTAGATTGCCATTGCCAATACTGTTGTTGCTGTGCACCTGTCTGTCTGTCTGTCTGTCTGTCTGTCTGTCTGTCTGTCTGCCTGCCTGCCTGCCTGCCTGCCTGTCTGTCTGTCTGTCTGTCTGTCTGTCTGTCTGTCTGTCTCTCTCTCTCTCTCTCTCTCTCTCTCTCTCTCTCTCTCTCCCCCCAACTGGTCTAGAGCCGAAGGATCTGTCCTAGGTTTCTGCCTTTTAACAGGCAGTTTTTCCCTGCCCTTGTCGCCAAGGGCTTGCTCATGGTGGTACTGTTGGGTCTCTGTAAATAATGTTATAAAGAGTTCGGTCTAGACCTGCGCTATTTGAAAAGTGTCCTGAGATAACTTATGTTATGAATTGGCGCTATACAAATAAAATTGAATTGAATTGAATTAAAGTCACTGAACAGGAGAGAAGGAGTTAAGTGGATGGGAAAATACTCATAATTGCATTTTATTATCATCTCTTATGCACCACCATGTCACTAAAGATAATTACTCATCATTATACTTTTGTTTCTGAGAATAGTAACATTTAACTTTGTACAAATATGTCTTCTTCTGAAAGTTTGCTACGAAAGTTTACCTTCAGTTCTGTGTTCAGTCTTAAAAAACAGCTTGAACTTGAAATTCTGCCCAGTTGTGCAGTCAGCTCCTGTTGAGGTGTAGTATTGTCTGTTTTTTTTTCTTAGCATGGCTTTTATCTAATATCAATTGACGTAAGAGAGGTAGGTTGAACATGTATACATCAGGAGATTATGCATGTTGTTAATATAAATGTATTTCTCCTAAATACTGTCACATTATTAAGATTTCTCTAGGATAATATTAGCTTAATATTAGCAGTGTGTAAGATGTAGTGACATCTAGGGTGGCTGTGGCTACCCTAGGTAGAGTGGGTAATCAACTAATCAGAAGGTTGGTGGTTCGATACTCGGCTCTTAATTGCAAGTATCCTTGGGCCAGATATTGAACCTCAAACTGCTCTTCATGCTTTGGCATGGGTGTATACACTTACTTTCTGTCTCTGATAAGCAGTTGGCACCTCTGCAATCAGTGTATGAATGTGTTTGAATGGGTGAATGTGACACAAATGTAAAGTGCTTTGAGTAGACAGGAGACTAACAAAGACACCATGTAAGTACAATACATTTACCATCTAGCAGTGAACTGGCAGACCACAACACCCTCACTTCCCCTTTATAGTGACTGCAAAATGGGCAAAAAGTACAAATGCCCCTATCTAGAGCCGGTGGGCTCATTCTAAGGTAATGAAAACATAAAAATTCCTATATTCAGGGAATCATACACTAATTAGGGCATAACTATGAATATTATATTCCATTTCTGCCAGTATATCCTCCTAAATGTTCCACACTGGACCTTTAAAACCTACCAGATTTCTTTCTTTGTCCAAAAAGCACAACAATCAAATTCAAAATTTACAGTTTGAGATTGTAACCCAACACTTTTAGAGATTTTGACAGAAATATTCACAATGTATACACTCCTCAAAAGTCATCTGTTTCAGGTTTCTGTTTTTCATTGAGGCTTCTCCCTCTGCATTCGATCAAGTGTAGGACATAGTCCCATTCACATTCAGTGCATGGTCAGCCGTTGTGCTTACCATTCACAGTGAGTGACACCTCCTTCTCCCCGGCACCCACTCGGGGGACTACGGCCCGACACACATACTTCCCAGCATCCTCCTGCTTTACTCCTTTCAGTGTCAGAGTGTTCTTGTTGCTAAGCACCTGTGTTGTGAGGGAAACTATTTCAAAGGTTGGAGGTCATTTCTGTCTAGTTGAACACAAATTACATTTACACAAGTAACAAAGGTAGTAACATTTAACAAGCTGCTGAACACTGACAAAAAAATAGGTAAGAGATGCTTTCATAGAGTGACTACTGAGGAATTCTGTTATCTATGTTTTCATATGTTTAATGTCATTCATAGCATGCAAATGTGCTGATTAATTCTGTTCTACCTAGTTTTTACCCTGCTACAAAAGGAAAGCTTTATTAAATATTTTAAACCTTCAGGGAAAACTACGTGTTCTTGGTCTAACAAAACATTATTTAACAGTTGTTCAAAATCACAACAAAGAATGAAAGATTTTTATAAATTCAAGCATTCAAGCATTGAGACATTGTCCAAGGCCAGCTGCACGTCTAGCTACAATGAGAGATTTGTCCTTCATAGAAAATTTCTCTCAGGTTCAGATTTCTAACAGAACATTAGAGAAGTTCCATGATCCTCTGATGACTCCAGTGATTCTCAATATTATAGAGAACTGCACATTGCTAAATTAAATATCTCATAGGACTTTGGCCAAACTTAAAATTAATGGAAGTATAGTGACGTCACTGGAAATGGGGCAACAAGGTTAGTGCCTCACAGCACGAAGGTCCTCGGTTTGATTCTCAGCTGGGGCAGGGCCTTTCTGTGTTCTGCCCTTGTCTGCATGGTTTTTCTTCCAGTTCCAGTTTCCCCCACAGTTAAAACATGTATGTTAGGTTAGGTTAAGATCTGGAGGTGCACTGTACAGTGGCTGCCTACTGCTCCTAGTAATTAGGATGGGTTAAATTCAGAGGACATATTTCACTATAAGATGTATCATGTATTACTGTATATGTGACAATAAAGTTAATTATATTCTGTTCTATTTTCTGTATGAAGAATAAACACTCAACCTTCAAGTGAATCTTGTACCAGACTGCAGCTCCAGATGACCGTTCTGATGCTGTATAAACATCACAACGTCAGAATGAGCTGTTGAGTACAGTGCACTTGTTGGTGAGAAATACATACCACTCCTGAGCCACGTTTCATCCACACAATGGTTAGAGAGGGGTTTCCTGTCCAAGCACAGTTGAAAACAGCATCAGATCCCAGGTCCACTTGCAGAGACTGAGGCTCTGCTGCCATCCTCGGCCCAACTAGAAGACCGACACATGGCAGAAATTATCTGTGCTTTGTACATAATTGCTAGGAAGACAATACATTTTAGGAGCTCAGCAGAAAACAAGAAAACAGAATAAAAACTATGACACAAGCATACAAATAATAGATTTTTCTTGAGGGAAGTTATACATTGTTAATTAACTTATCTTCCAAGTTGCAAAATGTTGGTACTGACATCAGAAAACTGACATTGTATTTCTGTTTTTCCCTACAATCTGCTCTGGCACTTTTTTATGGCTCTGTTTAAAAGTTTCATAGAAGAAGAGAATTGAGTGCATAACTTCATATTCATCTTCATGTATTTTGACACTTACAGTATTTTAAGCCTCAGGAAAGATGATGGTATTAGTCAAATACTGATATAGTGACTTGAAGCATAACACAGGATGTATTGACTTTATTAACACTGAACTAAATTGTGATCTTTCCCTAAGCAAAGGGCTTCTGCTGCCTGAACCTAACCACACACAGGACATGAGGCCTATTCTCTGGTATCACCCACTATCAACCCCAAGCACTGCTCTAAAACTTGCAGATGTTAAATAATGTAGCGCTTCCTACAGCGATTATGTTTTTTTTATAAAACTAACTTATGTCTAAACAAATAATGGGACCGCTTGGACCTTTACAATTTGTTTGTTTAGTTCATTTTGTGTGATTTAACTAAACTTTAATGTGATGGGTCACTTCCTGTAACATAACCTGACCTCCTGATGATGCGATAACCAGCAGGTGGCCCTGCCTTAAATTAGTTATTAATCAGTCCAGATTAACAGTTTTGTGTATTTTATGAGAATGAATCAATAAATGATTGGCTATTGTTGCTCTTGTCTAAGGCTGGTACCCTGAGGAACTTTATTTATTAAAGTTATTATTTATTATCTTTGATAATTAATCATTTTGATAGCCAACATTTGATTGATTGCCCCTTTAAACCACAGTCATTAGTTGTATATAAACGTCTGATATAACATGCGTAAACACATTCTGTGCTCAGGTGATGAAGTTGATAAACACTCACAGTAGACATCCACATTCCTGCTAACGTTTGTGTGGCCCAGTGCATTGGTGACCTCACAGGAAACCGGCTCAGTGAAGAAGGAGTGATCCACAAGAACCTCATAGGTGTCAGCCGAGGTGTCTGGAATCACATTACCTCCTTTGGCCCACCTGAAATCGAAACAGAATAAAACACAATATATGTGGGTTTATCAATGACAACAAAGGCCTGTTCATTTCAGCAATCGGAATCAGAATCAGAATCAGAATCAGAATCAGAATTGTTTATTGCCACTTACGAGGAATGTGTCTTGGTGCATTAGTGCATAAAATATATAAATCCCACAAAAATCACACAGAAAAATAAAGTACTTTTAAAGTATAAATAAATAAAGCTAAGAAAGAAAGAAAACTGCATTAATGTAATGCATTTATACAGGGTGTGTATAAGAGTCAGTGTCAAAGGGGTTCCGTGCCTTGTTAATGAGGCCAGCTGCAAACGGGAAGAAAATGTTTTTGTGGCGTGAGGTTTTGGTCCTGATGGACCGCAGTCTCCTGCCAGAGGGAAGTGTTTCAAAGAGTTGGTGACTGGGATGGGAGGGGTCAGCCACAATCTTGACTGCACGCCTCAGGGTCCTAGAGGCATACAGGTCCTGGAGGGATTGCAAATTGCAGTCGATCACCGTCTCAGCAGATCGAATGATACACTGCAGTCTGCCCTTGTCCTTGGCAGTGGCAGCAGCGTACCAGATGGTGATGGAAGAGGTGAGGATGGCGCTTTGAGTGGTCGGAAGACTGGAAAGGTGCTATACAAGTACAGATCCATTTACCATTTACCATCTCTCCTGTACTAGCTTCTCTGCACTGGCTCTCTGTAAAATTTTGAATAGAATTTAAAATCCTCCTACTCACCTATAAAGCTCTTCATGGTCAGACCCCTTCATATCTTAAAGCGCTCATAGTACCCTTTTACCCCACTAGAACACTACGTTCTCTGAATGCTGGGCTACTCGTGGTTCCTATAGTCTCAAAAAGTAGAACAGGAGCCAGAGCCTTCAGTTACCAAGCTCCTCTCCTGTGGAACCAGCTTCCAGTTGTAAGAGTTCCTCTCTTCCTCTCTCTTTCTGCACTCATTCGTGTCCCATTAATGCATGTTACTAACTTCACTTCTTCCCTGGAGTTCTCGTGCTTTCTCATCACGCAGGTTCTCATGGATCCTGGTGGAGCCTCCTACCATGGTCCTGCTTGACTGCCATTGCTAATATCACTGATATTAGGGTTATTATTATTATTATTATTATTATTATAAGTATTATTATTGCTACAGTTACTATTATTACTATTGTCACTGCTTGTTGTCCCCCATCGTTGCTGTTGTCATGTTCATCATCGTCAGTCACTACTATTAGTGTAGTTGTTGCTACTGTTGTTGCTGTGCACCTCTCTCTCTCTCTCTCTCTCTATCTCTCTCTCTCTCTCTCACCCCAACTGGTCGAGACAGACGACCACCCACCTAGAGCCGAAGGATCTGTTCTTGGTTTCTGCCTTTTAACAGGCAGTTTTTCCTTGCCCCCGTTGCCAAGTGCTTGCTCATGGTGGTACTGTTGGGTCTCTGTAAATGTTATAAGGAGTTCGGTCTAGACCTGCTCTATTTGAAAAGTGTCCTAAGATAACTTCTGTTATGAATTGGCGCTATACAAATAAAATTGAATTGAATTGAATTGAATCATAGATGAGCCCAATTCAGGAGCCTGACGGACTGGTGACTGGAGGTGCAGCTGTTGGTGTACAGGGAGAAGAGCAGAGGAGAAAGAACGCAGCCTTGGGGGGGATCCGGTGCTGATGGTCTGAGAGTCAGAGACATTTTTCCCCACATTACTTCACATGCTGTTTTTTGTCAGACAGGAAGTCTGTGATCCACCTGCAGGTGGAGTCAGGCACAATGAGCTGGGAGAGCTTGTCCTGTAGCAAAGCTGGGATGATGGTGTTAAAAGCAGAGCTGAAGTCCACAAACAGGATCCTGGCATAGGTTCCTGGGGAGTCCAGAAATTATTCCATTCCAATGATTTTTATTTAAATATGTATTCCAATTTAAGAACTGTTATGAATGAAGTACTGAAACCCTATCTGCTATTGTATAGATGACCTTGACGAGAGAGACAACAGAGTTGAATTTCCTTTACAGGGAGCAACAGAATATTGATATATATATTTAATTGTTGACAGGAACTTAAGTATTCTGTGGTGCAGAAACAAACCTACGGTATGCTGAATACCCTCTGTAGTTTCATCCATAAGCCACGTCACTAAAAAGCAAGGTTTAGGGATGCCCAGGTAGAGCCTTCACCCCATGTATCAAGGCTTGATTTCAAGTCCAGCTTCAGGTTTGCTGCATGTCATCCCACCTCTCTCTCCCCCTGCCTTTCCTGCCCATCTCTCCTGCTGTACTGTCTACCATAGCATAGATTGCTCTTTTCATTACTATGCAGACATTTAAGAATGATCAAGTGTTGCATCTATTTTAAGGTAGCAGATATAATAGGATGAGAGGTGTCTTTAAAAAGGGATAATGTAATAGTTACATTATGTTAATGGGTTTAAAACTTTTGATTGTTCCGTATTCACTGAGGGAAAGTGAAAACATTAAAACACAGTATACATGTTTGTGATATATGTACAGTGGGGAGAACAAGTATTTGATACACTGCTGATTTTGCAGGTTTTCCCACTTACAAAGCATGTAGAGGTCTGTAATTTTTATCATAGGTACTCTTCAACTGTGAGCGACGGAATCTAAAACAAAAATCCAGAAAATCACATTGTATTTTTTTTAAGTAATTCATTTGCATTTCATGACATAAACCCATTACGGGACAAATAAAGGTTTTCTTATCTTATTTTCTTATCTTATGGTGATGGGATTGTTGTGCCATTATTCTGCCTTGCTGGTCTGTGTAAAAGGTAGTAACAGGTTGTTTTTCCTCTAAGCCGGCAGTCGAGGTGGTAACAGAGCTGAAATTATTTCAGTGTAAAAGTTTGAGCCGGCAGGATGGGACACCCATGTATGTGTAGTTAGTGTGTGGTGAAGCAAAGGGGCAGTGATGCTGACTGCGAGTAGTCCAAAGGAAAGGAAGAAAGCAGTGAAGTTGTTAGTCTGGCAGTAAATATACAGTGTAAGTTACAGTGTGTCAGTGAATAAAGGCTACAACTTCTCAAGTACAGGTTCCCATGTGTTGTCTCCCAACTACTGGAATAACATCATTATGACCCTTGGTTGAGCCTCTTTTGGTTCCAGAATGCTGGCATGCTACCTAAAATCCCACACTGTGGTGGCATAACACCGGCATGGTCGGGTTTAGTGTAAAAAACATAGGTAGCATATTTGCCTTCTGCACATACAACAATAAATCCTGGTTTACATAAAAAGACCAATGAGAAGGCTTGCTGTTTACATTCCCCCAGACACAAATTCAAAAGATAACCTGCAGAATTATTTCCTGGGTATGTGTATGTATGTATACATTTATATAAATAAATAATTATTTGGTTTGTTTATTAGGACCCGAGCACTGACCAGTGCAAGGACCTATTGTATTTGTTAGAATTGGCTATTATTATTTTTCTGCCAAAATGATCGCATTTTTGGAGGCCTGAACATGCGCCATGTATCATGACTTTACGTTTTGATTCTCCATGAAACAGGAAGTTTTCATAACTTCAGTTATACTTAGGTCTGCACCTCCTTACAGGTTGATCAGATCAGCTTTATTTGGTCAGAAGATACTTAAGATGTTGATGATGTCCATTTACCATTTACCAATAAGTCCATTAAGACACTATAATTAATTTAGAATGCTGCAGCACTAGTACTGACAGGAACTAGGAAGAGAAATGATATCTCTCCTGTATTAGCTTCTCTGCACTGGCTCCTACAAAGCTCTTCATGGTTCATATCTTAAAGAGCTCATAGTACCCTATTACCCCTCTAGAACACTGTGCACTCTGAACTGTGGTTCCTATAGTCTCTAAAAGTAGAACAGGAGCCAGAGCCTTCAGCTACCAAGCTCCTCTCCTGTGGAACCAGCTTCCAGTTGTCGGGAGGCAGACACCCTCTCCACATTTAAGAGTAGGCTTAAGACATTCCTCTTTTATAGTTAGGGCTGGCTCAGGACAGTCCTGAACCATCCCTTAGTTATGCTGCTATAGGCCTAGACTATCAGCAAAGTGTCAAAATTAACTAAAGATTGTTAAATATACAACAAATACAGACAGACAGGGAATTGAATAAGGGAAGGGCATTATCTTGCTTATACCCTGGTCACTTACTTAAACTCATGTGCTTTTATTTTCATATGATTTGCAATCAAAATCTAAGGTTTTTTACAAGCCATGACTCCGTTTCCCTGGTAACACCCGACGTCCTTCCAAATACCTGGAAGAATAATTACCATCAGAATCAGAATCAGAATGAGATTTATTGCCAGGCGGGTTTTTACACATACTAGGAATTTGTCTTGGTGCAATGGTGCTTAGAATATACAATCACACAAAAAATAAAAAGATAAATATATAAATTACACAAAAATATACAAGTCACACAAAAATCACACAAGAATAAAGTACTTTTTTTTCTTTTAATATAGATAAATAAAGATAAGAAAGATAAGAAAAGATAGGAAAACTGTACAGAAGACGGGAGTGCATTAATGTAATGCATATATACAGGTTGGGTATAAGAGTCAGTGACAGTGGGGGGTCCGGCCTTGTTAATAAGGCCAGCTGCAGACGGAAGGAAACTGTTTTTGTGGCGAGAGGTTTTGGTCCTGATGGACCATAGTCTCCTGCCAGAGGGGAGTGGTTCAAAGAGTTTGTGGCTGGGGTGGGAGGGGTCAGCCACAATCTTGCCTACACACCTCAGGGTCCTGAGACGTACAGGTCCTGGAGGGATGGCAGGTTGCAGCCGATCACCTTCTCAGCATCTTGTTGATAAGACCAGCTGCAAACAGGAAGAAACTGCTTTTTTGGTGTGAGGTTTTGGTCCTGATAGACTGCAGCCTCCTTCCAATGGGAAGTGTTTCAAAAAGTCTGTGTCTGGGGTGGGAGGGGTCAGCCGCAATCTTACCTGGACACCTCAGGGTGGTGGAGGCATACAGGTGCTGGAGGGATGGCAG